ATGCGGATGATGCTGTGGTTTTCTTGCGGCCATATAGGATGGACCTACAAGTCATCAAGACAATCCTGGATTTATTTGGCCATGCCTCGGGTCTGCGTACTAATCTATCCAAGAGCTCAATCTCCCCCATCCACTGCTCTATGGAGGATCTGCATCTTACAACGGAGAATCTGGCTTGTGCTGTCAAGGATTTCCCTTGTACAAATCTTGGGCTACCCCTTTCTATTCACAAGCCCAACAAGGAGGTGCTGCTACCTCTAGTTGATAAAGTGGCTCATCTTCTTCCAGGTCGGAAGGCTTAGCTAATGAATAGGGCTGGTCGCTTGATCTTGGTGCGGGTGGTCATGACTGCCACCCCTATTTATTTAATGATTGCCTTTGATCTCCCTAAATGGGTAATCAAGGCAGTGGATAAAGGAGAGGTTTTTTATGGAAAGGACAAGAACAAGCAAATGGAGGCAATTGTTTAGTTTCATGGGAAAGGGTGCAGTGCCCGCTTGAGTATGGCGGCTTGGGGATCCATAATCTTGAAAAACTTGGCTGGGCGCTAAGAATCCGTTGGTTTTGGGCCCAAAAAAAAGATTCCTCAAGACCTTGGGCTGGTTTTCAGGTTCAAGTTCCTCAGTTTGCAAAAGCAATGTTTCGCTTGGCGGTTGACTGTATTGTTGGTAATGGGGAGTCGATTTTATTTTGGAAGGACAGGTGGCTGAATGGCAGAACCATTGATGAACTAGCCCCAAACTTGATCAAAGCTATTCCCAAAAGGTCGCTCAATAGAAGGACAATAGCTGAGGCTCTAAATAACCGGAGATGGGTGGCAGATATCAAAGGAGCGCGTACTGTCCAGGTCTTGGAGGATTATCTCAATATTTGGGATCTAGTGGAGGTACCTGATCAGTTTAGATGGAGGTTAACTCAGTCAGGTACCTACACCAGCAAATCAGCTTATGATGCTTTCTTTGTCAGGACCATCAAATTTGCTCCATGGAAAAGGATTTGGAAGAGTTGGGCTCCACTCCGGCGCAAGTTCTTCATTTGGTTGGCTATCAATAATCGTTGTTGGACAGCTGACCGTCTTGCTAAAAGAGACTTGCCCCACTCGGAGGCTTGTCCTTTTTGTGATCAAGAGGAAGAAACCATACAACACATCCTTGTGGGCTGTGTCTTCACCAGGCAGGTTTAGTTTTCAATTCTCCAAGCCCTACATCTACCTGCTCTGGTGGCCTCAACATCAGACACCAAATTTTCAAGTTGGTGGAGGAAAGGTCTTCGGCTTATTCCAAAAGATTTGCAGAAGGGGTTCAACTCCTTAGTTATTCTGGTAGCTTGGGAAACCTGGAAACACAAGAACTCTTGTGTTTTTGAGCATGCTAGGCCTAGCATACCAGATCTGCTCTGAGTGATAGCTGATGAATGCGGTTTATGGGGGTTGGCAGGAGCTTCTAAACTCCAAGAGTTCCTTGCCCGGTCGCTGTCCTTGGTCGCTTAGATCTGTGGCTAGGTTGGTCGGGGTTTTTGTTGTTTCTGTAAAGAGGTTGCTACCTGTTGTGAGTGGGGGTTGAGTTTTTGTACTTGGGCCGGTTCCTGCCGGCCCTTTGGTTCTTTCTTCTACTTAATGAAATGACACGCAGCTCTCCTGCGTTGTTCGAGAAAAAAAAACTAAATGGAACACTAGCCATAACACCTTTTCTTTTTTTTTTTTTGGCAAGGACTCATTGCCTTTTACACAAGCTATCAGTAACCATGATCAACAAAACTGGACAACTCCATTCCAGCCTGAGAGCATACCAGTGGCATGTCCTGGATTAGTTGAACTTGCCACAAAATTGGATTGGATTGTCTTGGAGTATGTCTCACTGCAACAATCTGAAATAAAGAAAACATAGTACTGAAATCACTGATTCGATGATGAGAAAAAAAAAATCCATGGAAGTAAGCAGCACCATAGTGGATCAAAAATAGAAAAGGTGTGAAAGCAATGTGGTGGACTCATTTCTTATTTACATTGTGCCTAACCTGAGCAGAGCAAAATGCTCCTTTACCGATCTGTCCAGGACCTCATACTGATCACATCAGGGAATCAGCAATGATCAACTGTGTTTGTTGCCTGGAGCAGGACCTGGTCCTAGGAGAAGGAACTGGAGCAGGCAGCACATGTGCTTCTTCCCCATTGTTTTCTGTTCATCTGTCCCTGTCTCACACAAATAGTCTCTTCTTACATTGACTGGTTCCTTTGAACGAGGAGAAGATTACCGTGGTAAGATCGAAATAGGAATCCTGCTCAATTAAGTGATCTCCAATATATCATCTCCAGTCACACAAAGCAACCCAGGTCAAATGTCCTCCTAGGCCAAATAATTCAAAAAAAAAAAAAAAACTAGCAATTCCCATGAGAACTTGCTGAGATTGTCATCTTACTGCAAACATTGGGATTGTTGTGAAGAAAGCTAGCTCTTTTCCGAAGCTTGAAAACATTGGGAGCTTCCCATTTTTTTTGGAAAACTTGAAAAGGAACTCAGTTTAGGACAAATTTTACAGATTGTGTAACTGGTTCAGCAAAGATGGGCCAATTTACATATGATGATGGGAACTCCCCCACAACACTTCCAATTAAGCCTAAATGTAATATTCACACCACCATAGTTTTTCTTTTACTAACTTTATATACAAAAAACTAAAAGAATTCTTGCTGAGTGATAAAAGTGCAATGTAACTTATTCCAATAAATGTTTTGTACGACCAAGCTTCATTTTCAAAGAACAAGGCTGGTTAAGATTTTATTTCCTGATGTAAATGCAGACACACAAGATTACATAGCAACCCCATCATGCCAACTACAATATACTGTGGTTTTTGTTGCATAAATGGAGATTGTGAGCTGTCATCTCACTGAATGACTGAAATATGATAACACAATGTGATTTTGTGACAACCCAATACAATTGTTTTGTTGCACACAAGGAAAAATGGGAGTACATGAAGGAATGGATTTTTGAAAGTCGGAGCACAATTATTGGTATTCAATCATGTGAAGCACGTCTAATTGGCATAGGTTGCTGGAGAAGACAATTGATACAAATGGGATCAGCCAGCATGCCAATACTACTTGTGTATGAACAGGCATAGGTTAGCCAAACTAATGCTCAAGTTTCAATGTTTTGCAAAAATCGGTTCGTTTGTGATGAAATTATTGCATTCTTCAAGCAGGGAGACCAGTGAAGATCAGAAACCTAGGAATCGAAGCTGGATCAGCGTTTGTAGAAGCTGAACAAATCACATCTAAAGAAAACAACCACTGAAATTCACTCCAACTCTGGAGAAAAAAATAATTCATGGTAGCTTTCAAAACCCTCATCATGGGGTCTATGCACAATTGGTGCATCTAACACTAGAGAACTTTTGATGCATCACCGTCATTAAAGCTGTTCAAATTTCCTAATGTACCTGGTGATTTAAGTGTTGCATAATTATTATGATGACTCCACTTTCATTTGCTCCTATGTGATGATATGCGTGCCAATGAATCGAAATGTGATGAAAAAAATTCTCTGTTACACGGGTTCAGCAAGTGTAATGAGACCAAGAGTCTTACTATTCAGAATTCAACATAGTGGACATTGTGGTAGAGATGGGGTGCCATCTGTTTGTTGGCTCCACTACAACAGAGGGGACTTCATGAAAGTGGATTTCTACCATGCAGATGCAAAAAAAAGGAAATGTGAGACATGTATCTTCTAATGGTTTAAGCCAAAAAGTATTCCCAGAGTTTACTCGAAGGGGATGCAAAATCTCACCGCATCAAAGAAAATAGATGCTCCCCTGTTCCTACCACTTTTGGCTGAGATGAACAAGGAAGACTAGTATATGCACTGATGAACTGATTGTGGATAACAAAGTATCGTTGCAAGCGTATGATAGCAGGTTCAGCAAGGTTCGTCTATTTAGCTTCCTTTTAAACCCACCTATCTAATAATATGCTATATAAATATCAAACTGTACTAACATTTACATATTTTATCCCTGTATATGATCAGCTGGACATAAAAAAGGATGAACTGAAAAAAAAGAGCTTTTTGATAAAAAAAACAAACAGTTTGTATAATCAAAATGTAATCATCTAATGCTGAATACCTTGATTAATCATGCATGCCACTTACAGTTACATCAATATATCATGCTATCAGTTTCTAAAATTTCATCTAGTAGCAGAACAGAGAATGGCGCAAAAAAAAAAAAAAAAAGATCCACAAATGTCTAAGTATCAAATTTTGATGTTCTAGTTTACATCTGTTAGGTTGAATGTGAATTCTCATAACTTTATATGAAAAAGAATAAAGAACTTCTAGAACATCAATGATTCTGTGTGATGTTTAGAGCCCTGTTATTCCAAATCAGCACTATGGGTGTTTTAGATCCCTGACTTCTAACCAATTGTTGTTCAGACTAAAAGGTAAACATGGCGCAAAACAAAAAGGAAAAATGCAATCATACGGTAGCATGAAAAAAGGTCAGTTTTGGATCCATTTACACTCCATCACACAGCATGAGTCCATAAAAATGTATTTTGCAGTAAAGAGTTTCTACCTTCAAATCAGCTCACTCCCAGTCCCAGGTGGCTGGGTGAAACGGTCAGCAGCTCGCAGCAACAAATTGCAGTCCAAGGTCAGCAGGGGATGGGATCCACAGACACCTGGGTGGCAGCTGTCAGGAATAGATTGCAGCTTGCTGATGAAATCGGCTCACTCCAGGCAGACGAGTCCTCCAGCGGGTAGCTCCCAGCAAATGCAATTTACAGATCAAGACTGATGGGATCAATCAGCGCCTGGAGACATATTAATTTCAGCATATAACCCTGGTAAAAAGTTCATATCTGCTGGTAAAGTTTTATTTGTTCAGTTAATTTAAGGTCTGTACTGGAACAAAAAAAAAGTTCAGATATGCTGGATCAAAGCATTGTAATAAGTAACCCATCCAGGGGAACATCTCACTTCTTACCTTATCTATGAGGACAACTCAGGTGCGTTTAATCGCCTGCTCCCACCCTCTTCGCCTGCCTGTATTTTTCCTATCTCAGAACTGCAGCGAAAAAAATAGCCAGGGAGTGAACACTTTTTCCTGTTGAAGCCATAGCCTTGTAAACTACGATTTGCTGCGGCAGAGGGGATGGAAAGAGAGGATTAGTTTGCTCTGTGGTTACCTTGGTGAAGGGATGGAATCTGATTTGCTGCTCATCGACATTGGTACCAAACATCCAGACCGAGCGGCAAAAATAGTCAAGCAGCCGGATTGAGCAGCGTGACGAGGAAGTGCGGCGGCAGCGGTGGTGTGGCGGGATGTTAGTTTGAGGGGGGCGGCGATGGCGACACCAACAATCCTGCAGTGAAGCAGGGAATCAAGGAGCGGCAGCGGTGATGACAGGAGAGCGGGGTGATAGGGAGGAGAGAGAGCAGGACACCGCGGTCGCTTATACAACTGGGGAATATTTATCCAACGCCTTTGTCATGAAACAAACTTCATCAATCCACCTACTGAACTACAATGCTAGACTAGGAGTTCCAAATGAGAACATAATGTTAAATAGCTGCATGTGGAACCATGTCGCAATGATACGAGGGTCCGTCGTAAGGTAAGGTAATATGCGAAAACAAAAGGAGCATCTAATTGGGGAAGGTAGCCTGATGAAAGACAAGCTTGATGCCCTAAAAGACCTTGAACTAAAGATCTGGAGTTTACAGCTGAGCAGCAGGTCCGCTTTTTGGTAACCCGTCATGGTAGAGTTCATTACTGGACCACATTTTTGTGGAGTCCAGTTCATTAATATAGTTCCTCGGACCTGAGTGGACTGTGGACATTGGAGGTGGTAGTTTGAGCCATGCTTGTGCTCTGTCTCAGATACTAGGTGCCTGATGTAAAATGTTTGAACCTGAATTTTTGCTCTTGATAGCAATGCTAATGGTCCAGGGTTTCTCCATGAAACCATAAGAAGAAACATCTAATTGGGGATTTTGTAACTAAAACACATGAGATGATTAACTACGGACAGCACTGCTTCCTTGAGTTGGAAGTTACAAGACTAATATGTAGTACCAAATGAAGATTTCATAAATCTACTGAGGAGGTTGCTGATATTCAGAATTTGAAATAAAAAATTATACTGCAGCAATCTTACACAATAGTACATGGCTCTCATATTTGCTATTTATACTATAGTCAGTTTATCACATATAGCATAAACTAAGAACGGGCATATTTTGTTTAAATATCCCAAGTTCCAGGTAATAGATATTCAAAACACTACAATCATGAGAAACGGTTGTTCTGACAAATACAAAATGAGAGCCGCCAAACCAAGGCGAAAGACCCAGACCAATTCTACCATCTACATTCGAAGGGGTCTGCTACAGACAAATCACGGACATGATCAACATGTATACGATGGGTACATAATTTTTTTGTAAACTGTAACTGTGCACCTCTCGACGCCCTTTTTTCCATCTGAAGCATCCCATATTGTTCTGCAAAAAAAGCCTCATTGCAATCACTGGCTCCAACTTCGAGTCTCATTGACTCTAACTCTCTCGCATTCAGTACAAAGAATGAGGCAAAATTGACTTGTGATCTGAGGCCTCGATACTGCTTCAACACTATTGTCTTGAGATGGATATCAAAGCTTTTTTAATGAATAAAAATCCCTGTATATTTTATACTTGTTTAACCAAACGACGCCATCGATTCATTTTCACTCTGACCCACATTTCACTCAGCTCAACAAAAGACTGAAGATATCAAAACAGGTAATGAAAATGGGAAACTCACTCTGAACCACATTGGTACAAAAAGGTCAAAATTAACTCAAACCACATTGGTACAAGGATTAACACCAAGTCAATAAAAAGAATATATGAACATTGTGATCCAGAAACTGTAACTGAAGAACTATCACCTTTATGTATAACTTCTCCAGACATGGAAAGCATTTCATCAACTCAATGACCATATCAAGATCAATAAAATCTGATGCGACGGCTAGAGTCTTGACATTGCTCAATGCCGTTGTCAAGCTTACAACTTTTAATCCCTGAATCAAGCATCGAACAAAACATCAAGCCATGTGCAAATGCAGATGATATGAAACCTCTGTGTAACAGAAAAACAAAACCAGCAGCCTTTTCATGGGAGGAAAATAGAATGCCATGACTACCTGAATCGATGCGGTGCCAAACACAAGCCAGGGAGGATGAGACCATTCATCAATAAGACAGCCTAAGGTCTCCAGTTTAGGTGCCGAGATTACAGTTAAATTCATTGGCTTGCCAAGATAGAGAAATCTTTCAAGACAAGGGGCATCGACAATTATGACTTCCTGTAAGAACTGGAGATTCTCCCTAAGACAACCAACACCCACACCGATGCTTCTGAGGCTACTGGAACTAATCCGGAGGCAGCCAACCCCAAAGATGTCTCTAAGCAGCAGGCACTCCAGGACAGGGCAGCTGGAAATGATGGTATGCAGTGAGCCCTCGGAGATGCTGACATCTTCAAGGCCGAGCTGCTTGAGGTGGGGAAAGTGAATCCCTTCCACTGAACTATCCAGGAGCTCACATTTGCCGAAGGTAGCAACTCGGAGGGTAGCCGAGAACCGGAAAGTAGAGGCAGGTGGCGGTGCCAACGGAGACGGTTGCCTATACCAATATTTCATATCCCAGAAATCAAGCTCCTGGAGGTTGGCAAGCGCCGGGGAGCTGAGCCAGGCGTCCACGGTGGCGGGACGGTCCTGGAGAAAGTGCGGCGGGACGCAGAAGCGGCGGCCGGGGCCCAGGTGGGCGGAGAGGATGCGGGAGACAGCGCTGGCGAGGGCCTCGTTGGCGGCGTTAAACTTCTTATCGTCGCGGGGGTAGGCCTTAGGCTCGGTGGAGAGGTCTGTGCCGTTGAGGACGAGAGGGGAGGCGAGCCAGACGTGGCGCCACCGGGAGGCGAGGATTTGGGTACGAGCAGCTTCCTTGGTGGAGAGAAGCGAAACTATCTCACCGAGGACGGCGTCGGGGAGGCCGCTGATGCGGTCGACGTCGTCTTTGCCGCCGCCACCACCACCACCAGCAGCAGCTTCAGACGGCGGCGGCGGCGGCGGTTCTTTGCTGTGGGTTGTAGGTTCGAGATTGGCCGCCTCCGTGGCTTCCGTTGCCCGCGGCTGGGCCTCATCGGCTGCGAGGTCCTCAGATCTCCTCCTCTTGGCACTGGGACACAGAAGCTCCATCTCCGCGGCCGGTGGCTTCTGGGGAGGCTGCGCCGCCGCACCGGGCAACAGAGACGGCGGCTCTGGACTTTGGTGTGCCGTGCGTGTGATAATGTGACACGATATCATTAATATTATATTTGTTTTTATATTTATGTTCGGATTTGAATTCGAATACGGATAGTGTAAATCATGTCGGATAGGATACGATTAAATATTGACATCATAAATATGTGATTTGAGTATTCGGATACGGATATGATATCGGGTGTTGAATATTTGGACTCAGATACGAACAGATTTAAACCCCTCTAAACGAATTCGGTCTTGAATACGGTCGAAAAGTAAGAGTACCATTTTCACCCATAAGTGTGAGGGTGGGCCGTGCTGGGTTTGACGGCCCAACAGAATGCTAACACGTTTGTGGTCACGTCTCTCTTTTTTAATCTTGCCACCGTACATGCGCACTAGGGTCTTGCTTGATCAATAAACCGCTTGTGCGCGTGGTACGGATTACGGGCCCGTTCGCCGGGAGGAATTTTGAGGAATCTGGATGAATCTGGAGGAATTTGTGAGAGTGTGAACAGTAAAAACCATCCGTGAACAGTGAATTCCAGCTGGTTTTTCAACCAGCCGAACTGGCCCTACTTTGAAGGAGAGAATGCAGTACCTAGTGCAATATGAGAAGCTTCCGGTTTTTTCTTTCATTACGGACACATGGGACATGGTGTCACAGAATGTGGAGATGGCACACATAGTAGGGAGAAGTGTGAATAGGGGGATTGGCTCCGAGTCCCCTTTTTGCGGGCGGTGGGAAGAGAGGAAAATTGGGGAGGAAGAGGAAGGGGACGTGGTCGAGGGAGAGGCGAGGAGGGGAAGAGGACAAGGAAATTATGATCTTTGAGATAGATGCGATGGAGACCTCGGTTGATGATGAAGATGAGGAAGATGAAAATTCCTCAAAAAGAGAGATGGAGGAGTTGTTGATGGGGAGGGCGTGTTGCACAACAGGTTAACCTGTTGGAACACGCACCTCTATCAGTGCTAATATTTTAAAGGAGCAAGAGAAGAAGAGACGAGGAGAAGTGGAGGTGGGGAAGATGGCTTGACCAGTAAGAATTGTAAGATCGGCGCCCTCTTTTGAGGAGGGTGACCAAGCGCAATGAAAATCTGGCGTGGGCGCCGCTGCGGGCTCGCCAAAGGTGCCAGGCGATTAGAGCGCTCGAAATTCAGAAGCGTGAAAAACCAGATGTGTTTTTTCTGTCTGAAACACATTTGGGAAAGGCGAAGACAGAAAATTTGAAGAGGAGACTCGGCTGTGATCACTTCATCATTCATGAGAGTGATGGCCGTAGTGGTGGTTTGTTGATGCTCTGGAGGAAGGAAGTGGTGGTCCAGTGCAAGGGTATATCACAGTATTATATTGATGTCATTATTCGAAATGATGGAGACTGGAGGCTAACTAGAATTTATGGGGAACACAAAGACCGAACATGGGAAGCTCTACGCTCTTTGAACACTAGCGTGGTACTTCCTTGGTTGGCTTTGGGAAATTTTAATGAGATTTTATATCACTATGAGAAGGAAGGTGGACCAGCAAGGACCCAAAGGCAATTGCAAGCATTCCATGATGTACTTGCAGATTGTGAGTTGGCGGATATGGGTTTTACAAGTGATATTTTCACATGGCAGAGGGAAAAATAAGAGAGCGTTTGGATCGTGGAGTAACAAATGCTCAGTGGAATACTAAATTCCCTAATGCGGGTCTGGTTAATGGTGAAATTAGACCACCGTCCAATTATTGTGGACACGGATCAGCTTGGGGGACAAAATATGATACGTCGGGGCCCAAGAAGATTCGAGGCGAGGTGGCTAAAGGAGGAGACAGTGAATGAAGTGATAGAATCGGCATGGGCGAGAGCATCTACTCAGGGACAAACATCAACGTTCATGGCGAAATTGAATAAAGTGCATGATGATTTACACATCTGGGATAGAGAAATTCCAAAGAAGCCGGCGCAACAAATGAAGAAATTGAAGCGGGAGTTAGAGAAGTTGCGGCGCGGGCTGATGACGGATGACTCTATTATTGCACAAAAGGAGATACTTCTCCAGCTGGAATTATTGCTAGAGCAGGAAGAGATTTTTTGGGTCCAACAAGCTCGAGCAAATTGGCTTAAGCATGGTGATCGAAACACAAATTTCTTTCATCACTTTGCTTCTAGCCGGAAGAAGAAAAATATGGTGAAGGGACTGGTGGACGACCAGGGGGTCAGGCATGAAGATGTGGAGACGATGGGGGCGATGGTGCAGGAATATTTCACGCACCTGTTCACGTCGGAGGTAAATGAGGTTGATGACGACGTGCTGGTAGATGTCAACCAGAAGGTAACACATGAGATGAATCAATTTCTTCTAGCACCTTTTTCAAGAGAGGAGGTCAAAAGGGGACCTGAAGGTGCCGGGTCCTGACGGGCTTCATGCAATATTTTTCAAGAGATTCTGGAATTTGTTAGAGGATGATTTGGTAGATGAGGTGCTGGATGCCATACACAACAAGGCTATTCCTGATGGGTGGAATAATACTATCATAGTTATGATCCCAAAGGTAGAAAATCCTGACAAGGTAACTCAATTCTGGCCTATCTCGTTATGCAACGTGGTTTACAAAGTAATTTCAAAGATGTTGTCCAATAGACTTAAGACTATTCTACCAGATATTATAAGTGACCATCAAAGTGCTTTTGTCCCGGGAAGATTAATAACAGATAACATCTTGCTAGCCTATGAATGCATTCATACAATGAAGAAGAAGAAAGGAAAACGGGGTCTTTGCGTTGTAAAGTTGGACATGCATAAAGCCTATGATAGAGTGGAGTGGGTGTTTCTAGAGAAAATGATGTTGAAGCTAGGCTTTGATGATGGATTAAATTAATTATGGCCTGTGTGTGAATTCAGTGCAGTACCCTGTTCGTTTTAATGCAGTAGAGACAAATAGTTTTTCACCTACAAGGGGCTTGCGACAAGGTGATCCTTTATCACCATATTTGTTTCTAATTGTTGCCGAGGGTCTGTCTTGCATGCTTAGAGGAGCAAAGGAAAGGAGAGAACTAGAGAGAATCAAAGTATGTAGGGAGGCTCCAACAACATCACACCTCCTCTTCACAGACGACTCTTATTTTGATGCATGCGAATAAGAAGAATGCCAATGTTTTAGTTGATATCCTAAATCGGTATTGCCTCAGTTGGGGGCAGAAACTAAGTGAGGCGAAGTTGAGTGTGTTTTTCAGCAAATACTGATGTTGATGTGAAGGTGGAGGTTTGTGAAGCGCTGAATATTATGACGGAGTCACTAAATGATAAATATTTAGGACTACCTGCAATGGTAGGTGCTGACCGAAGTGACTGCTTCCGTCATTTGATAGATAGAGTGATGACCAGGATAAATGGTTGGAAGGAGAAAATGTTGAGTATTGGTGGAAAGGAAATTCTGATTAATTCCATTGCTCAATCTGTGTCAGTCTATGCGATGATGGTATTTAAAATTCCTAAAAACATTTGCAACGGAATAACAAGTACTATCTCGCAGTTTTGGTGGGGTGATGACGATGAACATAAAAGAATACATTGGCAAGAATGGTGGAAGCTGTGTATGCCAAAAGGCAAAGGAGGAATGGGTTTTAGGGACCTACAATCTTTTTAATCTGGCCATGCTAGAAAAACAAGTCTGGAGATTGCTAACCAATCCAGATTCTCTTTGTGATAGGGTGCTGAGAGTCAGATATTATCCCAATGGCGAATTATTAAAGGCAAAAATGAGGAGTGGGTGTTCATAGACATGGCAAAGTATTTTAGCAGGGCTTGAGTGTTTCAAACGTGGCTACATATGGAGAGTAGATGATGGCACACAAATAAATATATGGGAGGATAGCTGGATCCTAGGGAGTCATAATTTAAAGATCCAAACGCCTAGGGGAAACAATCTGATTCAAAGGTGGAGGAGTTGATCAACCCAGCAGATGCAACATGGGATGTCGACTTGGTGAAGTCCATCTTTTGGCCAATTGATGTGCCCTTAATTTTGCAAATCACTATCACCCCGGGGAGGGAAGATCTTGTGGCGTGGCATTTTAATAGAAACGGGATCTTTTCGGTGCGTTCAACTTATCATTGCCAATGGGAGAGTAAGTTTGGGCCAAGATGCAATTCGATGGCTGCAAGTGGTGCAGCGAGGAGTCAAGCATGGAAGAGGATGTGGAAATTGCAGATACAAGGGAAAATTAAGATCTTTGGGTGGCGGGTTTTGCATGGATTTATTCCTTGCCAGGCTATCCTTGCAAACCGGCATATTCCAGTCACAGGTGGGTGCCCGATGTGCCAACATAGGGCTGAAGATATCAAGCACTTGTTGTTCACATGTGATCGAGCAAAGGCTATATGGAGTACGATTGGCATTTGGGGTATGATAGCCTCCCTACTTGGCACAGATCGGTCAGGATCTATTGTCCTAGAAGTCAGGAGCCTGGATATTGGCATGGCGGAGCTCGTTCTAGTGGGAAGCTAGTATATCTGGTGGGAGCGGCGGCAATACACTCATGGTGAGACTATCCAGCAGGCATCGAGGTCGGCTATGTCGATCGCAGCTCTAGCTAAGAATTACAAAATGGCTTCTAAGAAGGGGATGAAAATCAGAGAAGGATGGAAGAAACCACCTGAAGGTAAAGTTATGGTAAACGTTGATGCAAGTTTTGATGAAGATGTGGGTTGTGGAAGCGTGGGCGCAATCATCAGAGATAGCTTAGGGCGTGTGTTAGTAGCTGCGCACAGTTTCATACCTCATGTTGTGGATGCGCCAATGGCTGAGGCTTACGCTTTAAAGGAAGGATTGATGTTAGCTCAACACATAGGATGTAATCAGTTGATCATCCAGTCAGACTGTTTGGAGGTGGTTGAGACCATGAAGGACGGGGGCTTCTCGGGAACTTTTGCAGCTGTTGTATATGCTGAATGTGCTACGGTAT